AGCAGAATGTCCTTGTGGTCCTGTTGCCTCTGTCACTCTGCAGCTCTCAGCTTCTCTTCTCAGTGTTACAGCAAAATACAAAGGTCACAAACCCTGCATTTCAAGAGCAGCTGAAAATAATAATCCTTGCATTTGATACAGCACTTTTCATGTCTTCTGGACATCTCAAAGCGCTTCACAGAATATACTATTAAGTGACTCGACTATATATTTGTGAGCGAAATGCAGCAGCCAATTGCGCACAGCAGTGTCCCACAAACAGTCGTGGATTGAGTGACCAAATGATTATTGTTTTTTGGGAGTGATTATTATCCCTGGAAAAGCGATCCGCCAATTGATTAACAACCGGGTTCCTATTTACTGCTAGGTAAACAGAGGCGTGTGTGTGGAGTAAGGAAACTTGCGATGCAAGAAGCTAACCACTATGCTATATTCCATGAGGAGCTGGCAGACTGGTAACATCTGTATAAACCCAGTACACTCAGAAATCTTTCCCATTGTTAAGAGGGATGAGCTACAAGGAACAGCTAGCTTAGCCTAAGATCTCTTTCCCTGCTCCTTCCCACCCAACCACATCATAAGTTATTTCAATAATGATCTGACCACATTGTGAGATCCCATGGCGCTATTCAAAAAGAGAGTGGAGTTTCTCACCCAACAATCCCCCAGATACAATTGGCAATTGCTTTGTGGCTGTTTTCCAGAAAAGAAAAACATTTTGTCACTCAATCCACGACTGTTTATGGGATACTGCTATGTGCAATTGGCTGCTGAGTTTCACCCACAGTCAATCCACTTTAAAGTATATTCTGTGAAGAGCTTTGAGACATCTCAACAATGTGATGTGGCGCTGTATCAAATGCAAGGATTATTATTATTACTACGAAGGTTTTTAATGGTGAAGACGTCTGTTGTGAAGGCACCGATGGCACATCTCATTTGCTTACAGGCTGCGCTGGAAAAGTATCAAAAATCAAATTGAGTATTTCTCTCCCTCCAATGCTGAAATGATACAGTTCTGACTGTAGCTTAATTAAACAGAAGAACTCACAGCCTGCTTAGATCTACATAAAACAGTTTACATCTTGATTAACAGGTTCATAAGGAAAAATTACCCAGTAATTTTGATAAGAACTTTAATCACAGTTACCAAGACGACATTCAAGTCTTTTTTCAATTTAGCCAGAGAGAGACAAATTAGACCTCCCTTCAATGTGTCATTTTCTTTAAAATGTATATTTATTGGTGAGTCGTACCTTCCACATCCCAGCTCAGTTGGCATCCGTTGTGAGATGAGAAAGAGACATCAGATTTGATGTGAGCGATATCTGGTCGCAAAGTCTTTGGCAAACTTCACCCAGGAGCTGCAGGTGTTGGAATCCTGCGATAAAAGGATCCCAGACACAGTGGGGACTCACTGCTCCACAGGAGCTTCTCCAGCTTAGACACTGATAACCAGTGCAGACCACATTGGCAAGCCATCTGCCCACTGTCACTCCCGTAGTCTCACACATCTCACACATCTCGGCAAGTGGCTCTCAGTGAACACACCAGAGTTCTGTAGTGTAGTGGTTAAAGCACTCGCCTCACAAGCAAGAGAACCCGGGTTCCATTCACAGGTGAGGCGAAACCTTAAGCAGGTTTCTTTGCTCCACACATCTCTGTTTACTTAGCAGTAGATAGGAACCTGGTTATTAGCCAAATAACGGATTGCTTTCCGGGGTTAATAATCCCTACCCCAAAAAATTGTCAATGTCTCACAAACAGTTATGGATTGAGTGACCAAATTCTTCTTAGTATTTATTTGGGGGAGTGATTATTGCCCACGGGAAAGCAATCCACCTATCAACTAACTTACTGCTAGATAAACAGAGGCAGGTGGAGTAAGGAAACTTGCCTAAAGTTTTGCCCTGTCCAGGAATCAAACCCAGGCCCTCTCACTTGTGAGTCAAGTGCTCTAACGACTACCCTACTCCAGTCTTGTAAGGCATGATATCAAATGTGAGGATCATTTAGTTGTCAAATACATTGCTTTATTGTGTAAGCATACGAAACTCAGGCAGTTATTGGAGACATAGAGCACCACGGTTAACTTTTACTGATGGTTATCTTATAACATTGCTGCAAGTTCACTTCAATCCACGACTGTTTGTGGGACGCTGCTGTGTGCAATTGGCTGCTGCATTTCGCCCACAAAATATACAGTCAATTCACTTTGCAGTATATTCTGTGAAGCACTTTGAGACGTCTCATAGACATGATAAGGCGCTGTATCAAATGCATGTGTTATTATTATTATTGTTCATTCCAGGAATAACAGCCACTCACCGATTAACAATAATAATAATAATCCTTGCATTTGATATAGCACCTTATCACGTCTCAAAGCGCTTCACAGAATATACTATAAAGTGGCAGCCAATTGCGCACAGCAGTGTCCCACAAATAAAGATGGGGGAGATGAAGGCAGGGTCGGGGGGGGGGGGGGGGGGAGAAGAGAGGAAGAAGGTAAGCCCTAGTTTGTGGTTTATATTTATATATCATTTAGATAATTATTATGCAAAAGAAAAGTAAATCTCCAGATTTGTCCCAACTCTTGCACATGGTTTAATAATCTGTTGACAAGACATGGCATATTTATGTTCTGAAGATCCTCTGGCTGCTTTTGTTAATCTTCTCCAGGACTGGCAGAAAGGAAGCCAACATTGTCAATTCCAAATCAACAACTGGATTCACTTATGTGCTGAACAATGTGCCCAGAAACACAGCCATTTTACAGAGACCATCGATTAGAATCTAATTCTGTTATAATTCCTCCTGTTCCCCATTCTTGTTCATTTTTATTTTCACTCCTTTTGTTCTTGTTCAACTTTAAATTCCCACTGGAGCTCTCTACTCTAATCCCATTTCCTGTTCTTCCTCCTCCCCATCGTGTTGGTACTGGTGCTCGCTTCCCCACTGGAGCTCTCTTCTCTAATCTTGTTGCCCACTCTTTCCCTGTCGTTTCTGTGCTTTTGAATAGTGCCACAGAGATCTTTAATGCCCACCTGAACGGACAGACAGGAGCTTAGTTTAACAGCTCAGCCAAAGCCGTGGAGTCCTGTAGCTCAGTGGTTAGAGCACTCGCTTTGCAAGTGAGAGACCTGAGTTCAATTCCAGGCAGAGGGCGAAACCTTGGGCAAGTTTCCTTACTCCACACAGAGCCTAATAATAATCCCTCCAAAACCAAAAACAATAATAAATTGGTCATTTTCAATCTACGACTGTTTGTGGGACATTGCTGTGCGCAATTGGCTGCCGCGTTCGCCCACAGATATACAGTCAATTCACTTTACAGTGTGTTCTGTGAAGCGCTTTGGGACGTCCTCCCGACGTGAAAAGCGCTATATCAAATGCAAGGATTATTATTATTATTATTATTATTATTATTAAAGCACGACACCTCCGATAACACAGTGCTCCCTCTTCATGTGCTATGTGAGTTCAGGTAAACGGGACTTCAGTTTAATGTCTCGAATGGTCGATGGCACCCGACAATACAGCACACCCTCAACACTGCATTTGAGTGTCAACCTAGACTCTATGGGTATGAGTTCCAAGTCCGGATGTGGGGCTTAAACCCACAACCTTCTGACTCAGAGGCGAGAGCGCTGCCAACTGAGCCAGGCTGACACACTTTAGTGAATTCCAAAAACTAGCACAGATTAGACTCTGATTATCCTGTAATCAGAGTCCAATGGTCAAAACTGCAATAGGGGCACTGGGGCCTGAAAATTCATTCAGTCCTACTTATCCTGTTAAATCCGCTCGTGTCTTAAAATTTAAAATCACTCAGATTTGTGGGAAATTCTTTAAGTCAGCTTTAATTTGGAAGCCAGTTTTCCACAGTTGTTAGGGGATGAAAAAAAAGCAGCTTCCAAATTCAGAATGGATTTTCCATAATTCTGCAGAATCTTAAACTTTAAGACAAAATGGTCTTACAGGTTAAGACTAGGTGGAATTTCAAACCCACTGGATCTAAATCAGGTTCGGTTCCATCACTTTTTTTAAAAAAAGCAAAGAAACAGGCAAAATGTTGAAAACCTCACTCAGCAAATTTTTCTTGTTCGTTTGAACAGAAATTCCATCAACTGAATTTACTCACAAACACACTCTCAAAATAGGTAGAAATCTGCCTCCCGAAAGCCTGAAATTATTCCTAATCTCCCTTTTTCTGCCTGTGTGAGTGCCTTGCCTTAAACTGTAAAACCAGGCAGCCCGAGGGAAAATATTAAACTCCAGCCTCAATTTGAAGCCGTCTTTTCCGCAGTGCTTAAAAAGAAAAACAGCTTCTAAATTATTATAATATTCCTTGTGTTTGATACAGCGCCTTATCATACCGTTGAGACGTCTCAAAGCGCTTCAGAGTATACTGCAAAGTGAATTGACTATGTATTTTGTGGGCGAAATGCGGCAGCCAATTACGCTCAGTAGTGTCCCACAAACAGCCGTGGATGGAGTGACTTTTTTTTAATTTTAAAGGATATCCCCCGAAAGCGATCCGCCAATCGACTAACAGCTGAGTTCCTACTTACTTCTAGGTAAACAGGTGTGGAGTAAAGAAAACTTGCCTAAGGTTTTGCCCCATCCAGGAATCGAATCAAGGTCCACTCACTTGCGAGGCGAATGCTCTAACCAACACGCTACAGGACTTCTTAACTAAGACTGGAATTTAAGAAGCTTCCACATATTCTTTGCCATAACAATTTTTTCTGACAGTGCCCTGCAGGACCCCGATGCACACTCTCGGGTCCCCAAGTCTTGGCACTTGCCAACCTGCGCCTAATACTTTCCGGGGAGGGAGAGCGCATTCCATTCCAGCAATCATTCTCTGGGATTTCCATGTGTAGGTGGGATGTATGGAATTTTGGTTTGGTTTGGATCTTAAGCACGGTGATGGGTTTCAGCACGTGTCGACACCCGACTGACCAAACCAAAAAAAAGAGGTTTGCAGACAGACAAAACTGAACAAAACTCACTTTATTAAGAAAAAGAGACGTTGTGGTACGTTTACGAGCTCTCAGGAAAAATCTCTGTGGTAAAAAAAATGCAATAGATATGGGAAGAGGTCACACTGATAACCAGCGATTGGGCAGTGAACAGAGTGGGTCTGACTCGCTGGGAGTGATGTCTCTCTACTGTTGGCTGGTCGCTTCCTGGGACCTCTCACTCTCACCTGTGACAGACGTTTCCTGCTCCTCCCCACTAGATTTGATCTCTGCCTCCTTGCCTTCCCGGGGCTCGATCACACACCGGCTCCTGTCCGGCTCGGGCTGTGTTCCCCGACTTTCCTCCGTCTCGCTCTTGGCCACTTCCTGTAGGTTGTACTTGCGGAAGAGAATATAGTCCTGCACCACACTCACACAGCAAACACTCTTGATTATCTCCACAATGATGGTATACTCTGGGTTGTTCAGGTCCACTTTGTTCTCAGGGTTCAGGCTGATCACTACACCTGGGGACAGAAGCAGGACAAATCACCTCAGCAACGACCAACAACAACACACACACAACGCACACACCCACCCACACACACATCACAACACACACACATATCACAACACCCACTCACCCACACATATCACAACAGTCACCCACACATACATATCACAACATTTACCCACACACACACCCATCCACACACACATATCACAACACCCACCCACCCACACACATATCACAACACCCACTCACCCACACATATCACAACATTCACCCACACACACACACCCACACGCCCGCACACACATCACAACGCCCACCCACACACACATATCACAACATTCATCCACACGCGCGCGCGCACACACACATCACAACACACCACACGCACACACCCACACGGGCACACCCACATACCTAACAACACACACATAACGACACACACAGACAACACAAACACCCAACCCACACGCACAATACAGAACAATAACAAATAACAACAGCAGCAACAAATTGCATTTGTATAGCATCCAAACCCCTTCTGTGACCTGTCCATTTCCTCCACTCAATGGGCTCCGGGCAACCCGCCCCACCATCGACGGTCGGACCTTCAACCTTTCTGGCCTTTAGATCACCATCCAACAGTCCCTTCACCTCGGGGATGAAATTTTTTATGTTTTTAAATTTTATTTTGAAAGGATTATTACCCCCAGAAAAGTGATCCACCAATCGACTAACAATCAGATTCCTACCTACTGCTAGGTAAAGAGAGGCAGCCATGTGGAGTAAGGAAACTTGCCTTAAGTAATAATAATAATAATATGGTCACTCAATCCATGACTGTTTGTGGGACACTGCTACACGCAATTGGCCCACAAAAATTTCGCCCACAAAATATATAGTCAATTGACTTTACGGTGTATTCTGTGATGTGCTTTGAGACATCTCGAAGACATGATAAAGCGCTATATCAAAAGCAAGGATTATTATTAGTAGTAATAAAGTTTCCCCCGCCCAGGAATTAAACTCAGGTCCTCTCGTCTGCAAGGCGAGTGCTCTAACCACTAAGCTACGGGACTCCACAAATCCCTGACTGTCCACTGTCTTGGGAGATCCACCCTACATAAAAGGCACTATACAAATGTAATTAAGTTGCTTCAATGTACCTGCCAGAGCCTTGATGACATTGTCTCTACTCATGTGACTGTTGTTCCTGGCCTTGTAGACGATCTGGAAGGTGGCTTTCTTGGGGGCTTTGAACCAGGGCTCCATGAAGGTCTCAAAGTATCTGGGGATCTCCTCCATGAAAGCCTTGCACGAGCCTGAAACGGGCAACATGCGCAGAATGGCTCTCGTCTTCTTCTTCTTGGTCGTGTGCAGATCCTTCAGAATGTGATGCACCAGCTTGTCCGGTTCTGCTTTTGACAACGAGAGAGAAAAAAATATAATATCTGGATTTAAAAGAATCCTCATCTGCAAATTTACTCCAGGGCACTGTTGACGACGGACCAGCCATCCTGGCTCATTGGCAGGTCTTGGAGGAGCAGAGATAAAAATAATAATATTAATAATTGTAATAATCATCATCATTCTTGCATTTGAGACGTTGAGACATCTCAAAGCACTTCACAGAATATACTGTAAAGTGGATTGACTATTTTGTGGCCAAAACATGGCAGCCAATTGCACACAGCAGCGTCCCGCAAACAGTCGTGGATTGAGTGACCACTTTTTGGGGTTTTTTAGAGGGATTATTGACCCCCGAAAAGCCAACAGCCAATCGACTAACAACCAGGTTCCTACTTACTGCTAGTTAAACAGAGGCTTGTGGAGTAAGGAAACTTGCCTATGGTTTCACTCTAGTCAGGAATCTAACCCAGGTTGTCTCGCTTGCGAGGTGAGTGCACTAACCACTACACTACAGGACTCCACAGTATCTTAAATAGGTGCCATTTTCTCCTTTATGTATAATGCAAGACCTTCCCTTGCTGACCACAATACAAATGAAATACAGTTCACCTCACCCCTTCCCCTGGCCCCCTTCTCCAGAATCCAAGCCTCACCAATGTTGAGTGTTCTGATGAAGACCACATTGTTGGCCCCGCTCTCCAGGGCCTGGAACCTCCGCAGCTGCCTTGCGGTGGACGTGTAGATTTGGTTCACCTCCTTCTTCAAAGCGGTTTCCACGTCATCCTCCGACTCCTCGCCCTCGCTCTTCGACTGCCCGTCGTCCTCAGCAAACTGCGGGCGGTTCAGCAGAGAGGAGAGTGAGGCCAGTCCAACCAGAGATCAACACAGCCACAGACCAACACACTTACACAGCCTGTACACCAATACACCTCCCGGGGTGACCATGTCAAATCTGGGAACACTCTCAAAAATCCTTCCCCCGCCAACCCCACCCCGATCCCAGCCAGCCCCCAGCTTTTGGGTGCAAACCCCTCGTTGTCCAGCGCGGTGGGACGTCCACCTGCCATGAAAGTCGCTGGATAAATGCAATTGATTGTTGTCGATGTCCCCCTCATCTCTGATTTCCCCCCTCGCCCACAAAATATAATAATAATAATAATAATAATCCTTGCATTTGATATAGCGCTTTTCACGTCGGGAGGACGTCCCAAAGCGCTTCACAGAATAGACTGTAAAGTGAATTGACTGTATATTTGTGGGCGAACTCGGCAGCCAATTGCACACAGCAATGTCCCACAAACAGTCGTACATTGAAAATGACCAATTTATTATTGTTTTTGGTTTTGGAGGGATTATTATTAGGCTCTGTGTGGAGTAAGGAAACTTGCCCAAGGTTTCGCCCTCTGCCTGGGATTGAACTCAGGTCTCTCGCTTGCAAAGCGAGTGCTCTAACCACTGAGCTACAGGACTCCAAATACAGTCAATTCACTTTACAGCGTATCCTGTGAAGTGCTTTGAGACGTCTCAACGACATAAGGCGCCGTATCAAATGCCAGGATTATTATTCATTGTCTTTGATGTCCGCCTTTCTATTCTCTGATTTCCAGAAACTGGGGGTGTAGGCTCAGAGTACGGTCACTCTAGTCATGTGTAACCCCCCCAACCCCCCCACGCTTCTCAGCCCCCCCTCCCCACACGCCCCGCGCCTCTCACCCCAACCCAGCCTCTCGCTCCCCGCCCTACCCCCCCCCACCTCTCCGCAGCCTGTACCTTCTCGGGGCCATACAGTTGGTCTGCGTACTCGTTGAGGAGGCTGTAAGCCTCGGCCGTGCACTTCCTCTGGTTCATGTTACAGGTGATGAGCATTCCCTGCATTCCCACCTCCAGCTCCCGGCCAGAGCGCTGCCGCTTCCCCCCGGCCGTGCTCTGGTACTGACTCTTGCTCCTCTTCTTGCCTCTCGCCTCCGTGGCCATCGCTGCGGCTGCTTTTTTTTTTTCGGTGCGGGGTGGGGGGGAGGAGGCAAAAAAAAATAAAAATAAAAGCACGAACGACGGCCGACGGTCAGAACAACCCTCGCGCCGGGCGGCCGCGATCGGGCCGCCGAGACCTCTGGGGGGCGCTTCGCGGGCAACGCTGCCGGGCGGAGTGACCGCGCGTTTCGCGGGCGAAACCCGGCCGCCGATTCGCGCGCAGCAGCGTCCCGCGAACGGGCGTGGATTGAGCGACCACATTATTTTTTTGGAAGAGATTATTAGCCCCCCAGCCCCCCCCCAGGGCGAAACGAGAGAAAGAGAGAGATACAGGGAGAGAACAGCCAAGGGCTGTTCTCTCCCTGTATCTCTCTCTTTCTCTCGTTTCGCCCTGGGGGGGGGCTGGGGGGCTAATAATCTCTTCGAGAGCATAAGGAGATAAAGACGAACAGCGTCAACTTCACCCCCAGGGACCACCAGGCTGAGTGCACCAACTCCGACCTGGTCCCTCGCCCCTGGCCCCCACCCCGTTGCCCCGAGCCCCGCACCTCCGTCACGTCCCCACGGGCAGGCGGAGGCAAACGGCCGTGGATCCAGGCAGCCGGCCACCTGCGGACGGAGGCACTCAACACTGGCTTCGGGCAAGTCAGGCTCCGGTGCCTCTGCCTCTTGACATCATATGGCTGCGACGCTCGATGAGCAACTGTTCACACCGGCTCTGGGTCCTAGTGCCGTCAATTCCTCCCCTCGCGTCTCTCATTCTCCCCCCGCCCACCGCTTCAAGAGCAGGTCCACCTCGTTCGCCTTCCCCCACCCCGGCAGGCACACGTGTCCCGAACGGCCTCTTGTGCCGCATCCCCGTCACGTTATTTCCCGAAAGAAAACTTATTTGAGTTTGAAGGAATCAACATTTCCTGCTTCGACCGCCCGCAGGCTCACTATTCGCTCGCTGGGACAGTGTTTGCGTAGATCCGTTCTGGATTTACTCCCTTCAACCGCGGGCCGTGTCCGCTGGCTTTACTGTTCTGGCCAAGTCGAAACAGCCTGTCATGATCTACAACAACAACAACAACAACAAAATGGCATTTATAATAATAATAATAATAATCCTTGCATTTGATATAGCGCTTTTCACGTCGGGAGGACGTCCCAAAGCGCTTCACAGAATATACTGTAAAGTGAGTTGACTGTATATTTGTGGGCGAACGCGGCAGCCAATTGCGCACAGCAATGTCCCACAAACAGTCGTAGATTGAAAATGACCAATTTATTATTGTTTTTGGTTTTGGAGGGATTATTATTAGGCTCTGTGTGGAGTAAGGAAACTTGCCCAAGGTTTGGCCCTCTGCCTGGAATTGAACTCAGGTCTCTCGCTTGCAAAGCGAGTGCTCTAACCACTGAGCTACAGGACTCCACGCCTTTCACATCGGAAGGACGTCCCAGAGCGCCGAACAGTCAGCTGTCGGGGCCCGAGCATGGGGGAGGGGTGGTGTAGGGGTGAGGGAAGGCAAAGAGGTCTACATTGTTTTGCCCCTTTGGTTGCCCTTCTCTGTATCTTCTCGATTTCTCCAATATCTTTTCTGTACTGTGGCGACCAGAACTGTACACAGTCTCTACGTATGGTCTCACCAATGATTTATAGAGGCAGGATTACCCCACTATTTCGTCTGCTATTGATCTTTTGATACATCCCAACATCGTTACTCACTGCCACAGAGCAATTGTTGGGAGTGCTTCAATTTATTGTCAATCAGGACCCCCAGGTCATTTTCAGTTTCCATACATACTATTTTACTTCTGTTCAAATAATGATATTCGGTTCTGTTATGCCTGAATCTTTCCCTTTAGTAGTAGTGATAATAATAATAATCCTTGTTTGTGGGATGTGGCAAGGCCCAATATCAAATGCAACGAATAATATTATTATTATTCGGTACGAATTGATTGGAAGATCGCAAACGTCACACCACTTTTTAAGAAGGGTGGGAGAGAAAAGATGGGCAACTATAGACCAGTTAGTCTGACATCGGTGGTAGGGAAAATTCTAGAATCCTTAATTAAAGATGTTATAGTGGGATACCTAGAGGATCACAATATGATTAGACAGAGTCAACATGGCTTTACAAAAGGGAAGTTCATTGCCTAGTTCATTCCCTTTAGGCTAATATTGATTAGCCCAGGCCTGTAACCCACACGTTGCAGTGAGTGAATCATTTCCAGAGGCTAAGCTGAGTTACAGAAAATTCCAGTAAGACTAAATCCAGATGCCTGGTCTTAGCTCCATGTTATTTTTATGAGCAAAACAGCGGGTTCGTTTCTCCGAGGATTTCAGTCTCTCACCGATGACGTCCACATTGAGTCCAGCAGTAAGTCTCACTCAATGCACTTTCATCCGTGTGGGTTTTATATGAATTGGTTTTCATTTGAAAATGGGAGGAGTTGAGATATGTTTTGGTAGTTAAAAATATGCCGAAGCTCCACACGCTTCTGCTCACCTCGCAGTAAGTAAGAAACCAATTGTTAGTCGATTGGCAGATCACTTTTTGGAAGTAATAATCTGCGACTGTTTGTGGGACACTGCTGTGCACAATTGGCTGGTGCATTTCGCCCACAAAATAGAGTCAATTCACTTAACAATATATTATGAGGGCTATTGCTGTGCACAAATTGTCTGCCTTGTTTGCCTAAAAATACCATTACTGCACTTCATAGTAAAATCCTGTGAAGCGGTTTGAGAAGTCCCAACAACCTGATAAGGCGCTATATCAAATGCAAGCATTATTAATTACCTTCAGGTAAATAATTGTCGGAAGCGCCGTCCTTTGGACAAGATGTTAAAACCGAGGTCTCGTCTGCCTGTTTGGGGGGTCGATAAGATCCCATGGTGTTACTCAAAATAGAAGAGAATTTCTTTCTCCCAAAGCCCTGGCCAACAATCCCCCAAATAAAATTGGTCACTCACTCCATGGCTATTTGTGGGTCATTGCTGTGCGCTGATTGCCTGCCGGGTTCACCTATAAATAGTGTCATTCACTTGACTTATGAAGCCCTTTGAGTTGATTTGATGTTTCAAGCATTGTAACAGATGTGAGGATTATTCCTGTTATGAGGTGAGGGGAAACTGGCTTCATTAACACCATGAGCCTGTGTGTGGCACCAGAGTGTGGTTCGGGTGGAATTCCAGCTGGGTTCCCACTCGCTCCTTGCCCTTCTCAGTGGGACACCGAATAGGTTGCCTGAAAATGACAGCTGATAGGTGTGGTGGGGGGGAGGAATCCTCAGTGGGATGTGAACGCAGATCGTTCAGTGTCAGTCATTGAGTTATTGCTCTTGATTTGTGTCCATAGTATTTTATTCTATTCTGAATAAGTTCTCTCCCTCCACTCGGTAATCACTACAATGCTTCATGTCCCCTGCTCACTTCACCATTTGTGGACAAGCTTTTCAGTCACTCTGCCACCTCCTCCTCCTAGAACTTGGAACAACCCCTGCATTTATAGGCTATTGGTAGAATCCAGGGAACACCCACCTTAAGGTGGTGGTTGAGCCCGGGAACGACATAAGGTTTTGCACTGCTCAGTAGGAAGCAAGTTAGGAGCCTCTTCAGCTTGTTGTGGCTGGGGCAAAATAAACACTCTGTCACGTTCACTCGTTGAGTGGATTAGTCTCTTATACCAACACAGTCATTAAACGAGAATCCTCCCCTCACTTGGGAGAAACGTTATGAACTCCAGGCTGGAGTCCCTCCGCCTCGCCCCTCTTTAATAATAATCCTTGTATTTGATATAGTACCTTATCACATCATTGAGACATCTCAGAGCGCTTGACAGAATATACTGTGAAGAGAATTGACTGTATATAAATGTATACAAATTATTGCTGTTGTTACATTGAAAGATTCTTGAAGATCCTCTCTCCAGCTTAACAGGACAATGCAGAGGAATATCCGAGTGATTTCCTGCCATGCCCTGACATTGGGTCTCCGTTCTCCTTGGGGGCTTGGATTCCCTTGCCGTACCCCGAGAGGTCTCCAGACACTGGGAACACAGTTCAGCTCCTTCTCCACAGCGAGCCAGGCTGCTGTCCCAAACAATTTCACCGATTATGACTCCATGAGACAGCAGTATCAGCTGCACATGCCAGAGTACTTCAACTTCGCGAGTGACGTCCTGGATAAGTGGAGTGACAGGAGACAGGTATTGTTCAGGAAAATGAGGTGTCAGTGCAGCTGAGTCGGTACCACTTTTGCCTCCGAGTCAGAAAATTGTGGGTTCAAGCCCCACGTCATAGTCCAGACTGACACTCCCAACACAGTGCTGGGGGAGTGCTGCATCTTTTTAAATGTGACGTTAAACCGAGGTCCCCTCCTGCCTGTTTAATGCCCCAATAAAATCAGTCACTCACTGCAAGGCTGTTTGTGGGAAATGGCAATGTGCAAATTGATTGCTCCAATCACCTACAAAATACACCGGTCACTCCACTTTACAGTACAAACAAAACGCAAAATACTGCAGATGCTGGAAATCTGTCGTGGACCTGAAACGTTGACTCATTTTCCTTTCTCCGTAGATGCTGCCTGACCTGCTCAGTGTTCCCAGCGACTTCTCTTTTTGTTTCAATTTACAGTATATCCTGTGATTTGCTTTCAGACGTCTCAGTGATGTGATAAGGCGCTATATCAAATTCAAGGATTATTATAATATTATTAATAATAATGCTATTGATTGCTGAGATTTGTACTTGCCTCTGGTTGCTGACTGGTGCTAACTCTGTGTCTCAGTGCCAGGCTGCCAATGCAGGGTCAGAGGTGGCCCTCTGGTGGGTGAACGGACAAGGTGGAGAAGTGAAGTGGAGCTTCCCTGAGCTGGGAGAATTGTCCAGGAAGGTGGCGAACATCCTGACAGACGCCTGTGGGCTGGGAGCGGGCGATCGGATTCTTCTCATCCTGCCCAGGATTCCCGAGTGGTGGCTCGTCAATGTGGCGTGCTTCCGGACAGGTACATTACCCACCACCAGAGGCAGGATTCCAATGAGATAATAATAATAATAATAATCTTTACATTGGATACAGTGCCTTATCACGTCATTGAGAAGTCTCAAAGTGCTTCACAGGAGGTAGCAATATTGTAAAGTGAATTAACTGTGTATTTTTGTGGGCAAAGCATGGCAGCCAATTTGGAATGGCAGTGTTCCACAAACAGTCATTTACATTTCAGGATTTACAGAGTTAAGGAGAGAAACAGGGCACGGAAACAGACCTTTCGTCCTGAATAGTCCATGCCATCGTTTATATGGCTGTGTATCAGCAAGACTCAGCCGGTAGCACTCTTACTTCTGAGCCGGAGGCTGTGGGTTAGATTAGGAACTCATACAATCTATGATGACACTCCAATACTGTTCTGCATTGAGGTTCTACAGTTGAGACATTAAACCGAGGTTCAGTCTGCCTGGCGTAAAGTTAAAGTTCCCATAGCACTATTCAAAAAGAGAAGGGAGTTTCTTCTCCTGGTGTCCTGGCCAATAAAATTGGTCATTCACTCAATGTTTGTGGGACGTTGCTGTGCGCAAATTGGCTGCCGTGTTTCACCCACAAAATACTAAAATATTTTAGTATAATAAATAATCCCACACAACGTGATCTCTCATATCCATGCATTAAGTTCCATGCCTTGGACTTTAACATTCACTCCATGGCTGGGCACAGGCTGACTACCTGTATATCCTGTGAAATGCTTTGAGACGTCTTCCTGATATGAGAGGCGCTGTCTTAATTATAAGGATCATTACAGTGAAACTCATATAAGTCTTATCTATATAAATTGTATAATCGCCTGAGTCGTACATCCGCCCGAGTCCCATTCAGTTTCCTATCAAAACCACTTAGGTTACTTTGCACTAGCCGTATTAATCATACTGTGTACAGGAAAATTTTCTTGAGCAGTATGTCTCCAGTTCTACAAGGAAGGAAGCATTGCTGGATCTTGTCCTAGGGAATGAAGTAAGTCAGGTTGAATAAGTTTCGGTAGGGGAGCATCTAGGTAACAGTGACCATAATATTATTAGATTTAGATTACTCATGAACAAGGACAAAGTACAGTCAAGGGTGAAAATGCTTGACTGGAAAAGAGCTAATTTTGATGGGCTAAAGAGGGACCTAGAGTTGGTGGACTGGCAAGTAAGAATGGCAGGTAAAACGACTCATGAGCAATGGGAAATCTTCAAAGATACGATAGCTCAGGGTCTAAATAGATATATTTCCACAAAATGGAAATGTGCGAAAACCAAGCCAGCCTGGATGACCAGGGATATTCTGTCTAGGATGAAAAAGAAGAAGATGGGGTACAACAATTGGCGGATGCAAGGCACTGAGGATAGCAAAGCGCATTATAGAGAATGCAGGAGTGATCTTAAAAGAGCGATAAGACACGCTAAAAGATCGCATGAGAAGAGGTTAGCGGGTAACATAAAGGGGAATCCTAAAATATTTTATAAGCACATAAAGGAAAAAAGGTTAGTTAAAGGTAGGGTGGGGCCAATCAAAGACAATGACGGCAATCTTGTTGTGGAGGCAGAGGCCGTGGCTGATGTACTGAACAAGTACTTTGCATCTGTCTTCACAACGGAAACGGATGCCCCAAATGCCGCAGTATTGGATGAGAGGGTAGAGGACATAGATCAGATTACTATAGACAGAGAGGAAGTTCTGAAAAGATTGACTGGGCTCAAAATTGATAAGTCACCAGGACCAGATGGGTTTCACCCAAGGTTGCTGTGGGAGATACGGGTTCAAATAGCGGAGGCTTTGGCCATTATATTTCAATTCATTGGACACAGGAGTGGTGCCAAGAGACTGGAGAGTGGCTAATGTTACCCCACTCTACAAAAAGGGGCAGAAAGACAAGCCCGGAAATTACAGGCCAGTCAGCCTAACTTCGGTAATAGGAAAGCTACTGGAGACCGTAATCCGGGACAAAATAAATCTCTACTTAGAGGAACACGAGGTAATTAGAGACAGCCAACATGGATTTGTTAAAGGCAAATCTTGCCTAACAAATCTAATAGAATTTTTTGAAGAGGTGACTGCGAGGGTTGATGAGGGAAATGCGGTGGACATTATTTACATGGATTTTAAAAAGGCTTTTGACACAGTACCGCATAAGAGTTAATAAAAAAACTGGAGGCCCACGGTATTAAGGGGACAGTAGCCGTTTGGATTAGGAACTGACTGAGTGACAGAATGCAGAGGGTGGTGGTTAATGGGTGTTTCTCGCAATGGAAGGAGGTGTGCAGCGGTGTCCCCCAGGGATCGGTATTGGGACCACTGCTCTTTCTAATATATATTAATGATCTGGACTTGGGCATAGAGAGCACTATTTCCAAGTTTGCAGATGATACCAAGTTAGGTCGGGTAGTAAATAGTGAAGAAGATTGTGACGGACTGCAGGCAGACATACACAGAATGGTGGAATGGGCTGACATGTGGCAGATGGATTTCAATGTAGATAAGTGTGAGGTGATACATTTAGGTAGGAAAAATGATAGGAGGCAATATAGGCTTGGGAGCTCAATCTTAAGGGGGGTGAACGTACAGAGAGATCTGGGCGTTCAAGTGTGAAGGTGGCAGAGCAGCTAGATAGGGCAGTAAAAAGGGCATTTGGTGTACTGAGCTTCATTAGTAGGGGCATAGAGTATGAGAGTAGGGAAGTTATGCTTAATCTGTACAAAACACTGGTTAGGCCTCAGCTGGAGTACTGCGTCCAGTTCTGGGCACCTTACCTCAGGAAGGATATTAAGGCACTGGAAAGGGTGCAGAGGAGATTCACGAGAATGATACCAGGAATGGGGAAGCTTAGCTATGAGGACAGGCTGGAGAAGTTAGGACTTTTCCCATTAGAGCGGAGAAGGTTACTCGGGGACCTGATAGAGGTCTTCAAGATCATGAAAGGTTTCGACAGGCGAGATAGGGAAAAGCTGTTTCCGCTGGTAGGTGTGTCTGTGACTCGTGGTCACAGTCTTAAGATATCTACCAAAAGAAGCAGAGGGGAGGTTAGAAGAAATTTTTTCACTCAGCGAGTTGTTAGAATTTGGAATGATCTGCCCGAAAGGGCAGTGAAGTCCGATACGATAACAGCTTTTAAGAGAGAACTGGATAGGTATCTGGGGAAGACGGGTTTGCAGGGTTATGGGGAGAAAGCTGGTGAGAGGGGTAAATAAAAGTCAGTTGCTCTGTCAAAGAGCCGGCACAGACTCGATGGGCCGAATGGCCTCCTTCTGTGCCGTAACATTCTATGATTCTATGAAATTGAATGTTATGGTCCCAACTGATACGAATTTTACTGTATTTATTAATGACCCGAGACGCCATTCTGTGTGATGAGCTCCATATAAATGCAATTACACAATGTTGCTCTGGCCTCTCTCTCTGCCCTCTCTAGGCACCGTGCTGATCCATTGCTCGACCCAGTTGACGGCCAAAGACATTCTGTACAGGCTGCAAGTCTCGAAGCCAAGTGCATCATTACAGACGATAGCTTGGCACAAGCAGTGGACTCAGTGACGTCTGCCTGTCCCTCAGTCAAAGTCAAACTGATTGTATCAGACAAGCGCAGGAACGGGTGGCTCAACTTGCAGGACCTTTTCAGGTCAGTAACAAAGATCCATCCACAGAGGCTGGAACTCCAACTAGCCCAAGCCCGAAACCCCTCCATTGTCCGCCTCTCCCAGGTCCTGCTGATGAGCAGTGCCCTGGAGAACCACTCAGCTCCTGTTAACCCTGCAAGCCAAAGCCCTAATGGTCCTAGCTGGACAAACAGCTGGGAAGCTTGCCAGGCAGTGCTCTCTATGCGGTTCTAGCTGGTTAAACTCCAGCGGTTATCTCAATGCACAATCTGGAGTTCCCAAGCCTTGACTCTTGCCAACCTGCACCTAATACTCTCCAGGATTATAGGTGGCATACATGTAAGGTCCTCTCAGCCTGATTTGATATTCTTAGGCATGGTGATGGGTTCCGACATGTGTCAACCACCTGGCTGACAAAAAAAAGTTTAGATTAATAATACCTCAATCTGTGTGTGAGGTGTCACTGTAAATCGAGGCGTATTATTCTTTAAGGTGGTAAATCAGAGATTTACTGCTTTATTAAATGCATTAATAGGATTAAGCAATAAAGCATTCAGTTTCCAAATATGCTCGATCCAAAGATATTTAAATTTTCATTAATAATAATTAAATTAATAATAATCCATTTAATTATTATTAACTTAAACATCTTTAATTTAAATATATTATATATATTAAATTCTGTCTTTATGTTTGATTGTTCCCCCCCCACCACCACCACCCAAACGAATGGGTGAGGAAATTTGAGACTTGAGGAAACAAAAGACCATTCCTTAATCACACCGTTGTTTTGGTCCCTAAAGAGATACATCACCCGACCACGAGTGTGTGAAGAGCAAGAGCTCAGATATGATGGCCATTTTCTTTACCAGTGGGACTACTGGAGCCCCGAAAATGACCCAACATACACACGGCAGCTTTGGCGTGGGCCTGATAGTCAATGGGAGGTGAGCCATTTCAGCCCAACTCTGCACAACACCATGATGCTACAATAATAATAATAAACCTTGCATTTCATATAGCACCTTATTATGTCATTGAGACGTCTCAAAACATTTCACAGAATACACTGTAAAGTGAATTGACTGTATATTTTGTGGGCGAAACGCGGCAGCCAATTGCGTACAGCAGAGTCCCACAAACAGTCGTGGATTGAGTGTTGTTATTAAATACATATTTTTTCTAAGGGATTATTACCCCCAGAAAGCGATCTGCCAATCGATTAACAACAGTGTTCCTATTTACTTTACTACAAACAGAGGCATGTGGAGTAAGGAAACTTGCCTAAAGTTTCGCCCTGCCCAGGAATCAAAGCCGGGTCCTCTTGTTTGCGAGGCGAGTGCTCTAACTTTATAAAGGTATCAAGTATATTATAATAATAATGATTATCCTTGTATTTGATATAGCACTTTATCACATCATCCAGATATCTCAAAGTGCTTCACAGGATTTACAATAAAGTGTAGTGACTGTGTATTTTGTAAGCGAACGCAGCAGCTGATTTGCACACAGCGACATTCCACAAGTACAATCATTGGGCAGGAGGCTGACTGACAATATTCATGTACTAGGTACTGGCTGGACCTGACTACCTCCGATGTGATGTGGAATACTTCAGACACCGGCTGGGGCAAGTCTGTCTGGAGCAGTCTATTCGCAACATGGGTTCAAGGCTCCTGCGTCTTTGTCCATCACTTGCCGCGGTTTCAATCTCAGACCGTGCTGGAGGTAAAGAACTGTCTCCTCACATGTTGTTGGTTTTGTATTGGGGGAAAATTAGAGCTCACTCTAAATAATAATAATAATAATAATCCTTGCATTTGATAGAGCGCCTCATCACGTCTTCAAGATGTCTCAAAGAGCTTCACAGGAGACACTGTAAAGTGAAGTAACTGTGTGTTTTTTGGACAAAATGCAGCAGCCAACTGTGCGCAGCAGTGTCCCACACAGTTGTGGATTGAGTGACCAAATCATTATCTATTTATTTTTCGAAGGATTATTACCCCCAGAAGCAATCCACCAATCGATGAACAAGCGGGTTCCTACTTACTGCTAGATAAAGAGAGGCATGTGCGTGTGTGGAGTAAGGAGACTCACCTAAGTTTTAGCCCCGCCCGGCCGGGAATCAAACCGGGTCCTCTGGCTTGCGAGGCAAACACACTAACCACTACACTACAGGACTTCACAGTAACTTAGCACCACTCACGTGCTGAGTATACACAAATCACAGCTGCACAATTAGTGCACAGTCATCCAAACCACTGTCATTCACTCTCACTCCCACTCACTCATTCACTTTCACTTCCTGTTCCTCTCAAAGGCTGACACCCTGATTACCTCACATTGTTCTTGTTGGTCTCAGGTAATTCCTTCTGCAATGTTTTTCCCCCAGACCTTGTCCAGATATCCAGTCACTACCTTCTGCTCTGCACCTACTGTCTATCGCATGTTGGTCCAACACAATCTCTCCAGGTACAGTGTCCATTGGCCAAGCTCATGAAAAATTGGTAAATGTTTGATCAGGTTAATAATAATAATCATAATAATAATATTTGCATTTCATATAGCGCCTTATCGTGATAAGGCATCTCAAACGCTTCACAGGGACCCTACCCCGAGTGAGGGATGCTAGACAAATGCAAGTTGCTGTTGTTGTTGTCATCTTTCTTTAGTTGACGTCCCTGACTTGTTTCTGGTATAATTACAGCTACAGATTCAAAAGCCTGCAGCACTGTGTGAGCGCAGGGGAACCCATCAACCCCGAGGTGATGGAGAAGTGGAAAGAGCAGACAGGCCTCGACATCTACGAAGGATATGGCCAGACTGAGACTGTAGGTGCTTTCACCGCAAACGGCTGTGTTTGGTTCTTGTACTTTTTTTGCTGAGGAAAGAGAGTAGTATTGGATATAAAAAGCAATCAGCAAGTCTCTGTCCTCAGAAGGTGACCTTGAAAGCTAGCCTCGCTGTTACGTCCTTCACTTTAAACCTGTGTGAGCGTGCGCTCCAATCCAGGATACTGTATAATGTGAGAGCCAATTCAAGCTGCACATTAAAAGTACCTGGGTTTTACTCCGCCCCTTCCCTCCCCCCCCCACCCCAGTAGTTGCCGTCCTTTAGATGAGACATTAAACTGAGGTCCCATCAGCCTGTTCAGGTGGACGTTAAAGATCCCGTGGCACTATTCAAAAAGAGAAGGGAGTTTCTCTCGCCTGGTGTCCTGGTCAACAATCCCCCAAATAAAATTGGTCACTCACTCCGTGGCTGTTTGTGGGACATTACTGGGTGCAACTGGCTGCCACATTTTGCCCACAAAATGCACAATCAATCCATTTTACAGTATATCCTGTGAAGCGCATTGAGACATCTCGATGACGTGATAAGACTATATCAAATTGCAAGGATTATTATTTCCTGCTTTTTTTAAAACAAAACAAATCTACAGCTTTTTTTCTGGACATCTGATTTTTTCTTCTGTAAGGTTGGCAGGTATGAGGTATGAGAGAGGTAGATTTTTTTTTGAAGTTTTGAAAATGAGAGCGAGACAAAGAGAATGGGGAGAAGTCCAGAGAGCAGGGCAAAGTGGCTGAAAGTTTGGCCGTCAATAGTGATGCAGAGGAACTGGGTGAGGACGTCTCTTCCACACCTATTGCTTTAGGTGAAAATTTAATTCAGGCCAGGAGAGAAACCTGAAGGTAGCCAGGCTGCTACAAACCTGTTAAGAGAAATGTCTACTTTAACTCTCAATGTAAAAAGAGCTAAATGAGCACTCTTGGCTAGATAGGCAGGGAGTTCAGATTCGAGAGGGACAGATGGTTGCTGAAACAACAACTTGTATTTATACAGCACCCTTCATATGGGGCAGCATCTCGGAACAGTGGCAGAGCCTGACGCTGAGCCAGTGGGGAAGGGATGAGGTGACCTTAAACACACTTTCGGCCATCTTCCCCCTCTAGCTCAGGTGCTAAGCCTTAGACTGTCCAGTAGACTGGGATAACCTCCTGATGTGAAAGGCAGTATATATAAATGTATCTGACTGTTGTTTCTCTGGTCTCCACACACGACTTAGGTCCTGATCTGTGGAAACTTCAAAGCATGAAAATTAAACCTGGTTCCATGGGGAAGCCATCACCAGCCTATGACGTTCAGGTAACAATCAGTCTCACTCAGACAGCATGCGTTCTCACACCCAGGTAACTTTTTCTAATGTTTTCATAATGTCACCTCACAGCTGTTTAGAGCATCATAGAATCCTACAGCACAGAAGCAGGCTCATTTGGCCCATCGTGCCTGAAAGAGCTTTGAAAGAGCTATCCAATTAATCCCACTCCCCCCCTCTTTCCCCAAAGCCTTGCTAATCGACTGGGTGTTTACTGCTGGGTAGAGGCATGTGGAGTAAGGGAACTTGCCTTACAAAATTAAAGCACCTTTTATGTTGAGAGGATGTCCCAAGGTGCTGGACAATCAGTGTTTCGGACCCGAGCAGGGGATCGGGAAAAGTGGAGGGCGGTGGGGGAGGGGTAGGAGGGTGATCGAAGGCACGGTTGAAGAGGAGGGTCTTGAGATGGGTCTTGAAGGAGACAAGGGAGGGGATGAGAGGATGGGACTGTGGGATGGAGTTCCAGATGTTTTGCCTAAGAGTTTGTCCTGCCTGGGAATCAAACCGGGGTCCTCTCATTTGCAAAGCAAATGCTCTAACCAATACACTACAGGTCTCCACGTAAACTGCAGGACTCCATTGTTCCTTTCCATCATATTTGGTGTGTGTGTCTGGCTCTGTTTGTAGGGCTCTTGCCTCTGAGGCAGGAGGCTGTGGGTTCAAGCCACAATGTCTGATCACTTCTATGAGTAGCTGTAAATCCCTCTGTTTGAAATTGCAGATTATAGATGAGAACTGTAAGCCGGTGTCTCTGGGAACAGAGGGAAACATCGCCATCAGGGTGGAGCCTGTCCGACCCCTCAACTTCTTCTCCGGATATCTTGTGAGGTTCAAGTACTGAGCGAGCAACCTACACACACAGGCCGTGCCTCATTGTATATTCACACCCACACGCGCACACACAGATACGCACACACAGATACACACACACACACACAAAGACGGATGCACACACAAGCACACACACACACACACACACACAGGGTGAATCGGAAGTACTTGCTCATACAGTTTTTACTTCTTAATTATGTTTCTTTTATGGTTTGACATTGGTAGAGATTTTGCGGCTATTATAGGACATATCTTTCAGCACATTTGTGAAACTTTGTGTCACCGAGTGATGCGTGTAAATGTCTACACGGCATGACAGTTTGTACATCTCATACACACATTATGAGAAATAACAATTATTATTGTATTTCTGTGTTGCTAGGGAGATCCCGAGAGAACGGCCTTGTCGATGCGGGGGGGCTTTTACCTGACGGGAGACCGGGGGCTGGAGGATGAGGACGGCTACATCTGGTTTGTGGGAAGGTCGGATGATGTCATTCTCTCCTCAGGGTAATGGCCACATTGCACTATCACTGAGTCATTCACACCACAGGGAGGGCAGGAGGCAGGGTTATCAAATATCATGCCTTACATCACATCGAAAAGGAGGATATTCACCTCAAATCAAGCCATTAGGGAAACCCGCAAGCCCAATGCCCAACGGGTGGGGTGGTCTTAACTGGATGTGCAATGGGCAGTTTGCCAGCCAGTGTTCACAATGGAAAGCTATGCAATACCTCCGGGGTGGGGGGGTGGCGTAGGTTAGTAGAGTTTCCCTGGAACTGAACTGGCTCCAAGGTGACATGTTTGGCCACAGAATATCAGAATCGAGTCCACCCTTTGTTGTTCATCATGTGTCAGACACCTGGCTGATCAAGGTGACGGGTTTCCACTTGTGTCAGACTTCTGCAAGTTCACAAGGATTTCAAATCAGAAAGTGATAAATGTGGTCGTGTTTAGGACTGACTGAGGGCAGCGGGTTTTGCAGGTATCGTATTGGACCATTCGAGGTGGAGAGCGCTTTGATCGAGCACCCAGCGGTGGCTGAGTCTGCAGTGGTCAGCAGCCCCGATCCTATCAGAGGAGAGGTCGGTTCCCAGCGCCCAGTAACTAACAAACACGTTTGTAATCTGCACAACCAAACTAACTCGCCTCACATGCATCACCAGTGCTCATGGAACCTTGCACCAGCAGCTTCGACAAGAGAGAATAAAACACCGACGTGGAATATTTTATATAGAGCATTACAGCACAGAAACAGGCCATTCGATCCATCTAGTATGTGCTGATATTTATGCTGCTTTCAAACCCCCACACCTCTTATTCCCCTCTCCGATCCGCGCGATTCCCTGCTCCCTCGTCCATGCAATGTTTCCTCTTAAATACTTTTACTTTTAGCTTGAACCAAAGCTCCTGGCTGTGGGTTCCACATTCTCACCACGTGAAGAAGTTCTTCTTTAAACTCCCTTTTAGAGCGGTTACTGGCTTATATCAAACCCTCGCTTTTCGGAATCACCAACAAGTGGAAACAGAATATCAATTATTCAATATCACTTATTGAATTCTTTCATAATCTTAAACACCTCCTTTCAGTCGTCTCACCTCAAGAGAGAAAAGCTCTAACTTGGCCAATCTTTCCCGATAGCCTTGTCCGCTCGTCTCTGACAACATCCTTGGAAATCTATGCCAACCTCTTTCCAATGCTAAAATCCTCTAGGTGTGGGGACTTGTGTGGAGTGTAAGCACTGGCACGGACTGGTCGTTTCTGTGCTGGGTCACTCTGTGTATTGCAGTAATGGGTGAGTTACAGCCCACTAGGCTACAATCAAGATTTGTCACTGCGAGGATGACCCATAGAAATCACTCCCAACCTCCCGTCTCCGACACGCTACCCTGCACAAAGTATATATATATTATATACGCGCGCACACACACACACACACACACACACACAAGTTGTTGTCGGAGTATGCAGAGTTTGGGGCACATACTTACCTGGACCAAACTCCATACCCACATCTCACTAGTTCTGGCCCAGACTTTATTGGCTCCCCATCACCAAATGGATCGACTTCAATATCCTCACACTCGTGTTCAAATCCCTTCACTCCCTGGCACTTCCCACCCTCTCCGATCTCCTCACTCCTCAATCCACAACTCGGTGCTCCGTTCGACTGGCACCGGCATCCTGCTCGTCACTCGTGTCCTCCACTCCACCATTGGAGGTCACACATTCAGCCACTACATCCCAAAACTCTGGAACACTCCCTCAATCCCTCCACTTTGCCCCCCCTCTTTTTCAAGTACCGCCAAAAACCTTCCTTTTCGACCGTGCTTTTGGTCACTTCCATCGCTCAATCCCCCGGCTCGGAGTCAGGCTCCACCACTGTTAAACGCTCTGAGACGCTACCCTGAGTGGAGGGCATTATATAAGTGCAGGTTATTGTTGTTGTCCTAAGAGTCCTTTCTCCGTCAGGTTGTCAAGGCCTTTGTCATTCTGACTCCCGGCTACACTTCACACAGTCCCGAGGAGTTAATTACCGAGTTACAGGAACACGTGAAGAAAGTGACCGCCCCATACAAGTACCCACGGAAGGTAAATTTGACCCTCTGGGTGGTTCCTCTGCACGGGTCAGCACCTTAAACACGTGTGACTGGGTCACTGTCACATGGTCCTGGCTGGACAAGCAGCAGATGGGATCACACATCACCTTAACCCCCACTTACACTGTTCTCACTTACATGAACTCTCAGAGGACGTGTAATAGCACGGATGTGATCCTGGTGCACATTGGTGTGCAGTCGCACACTGATCATGGTATATATTTGTGTGCATAATTACAGTGTACATTAGTGTGCACAATTACACACTGATTCTGCTATTAGATTGGTGTGCATCGCACTAAAGAAATACTATTGAATCGATCTTACTAGGCACTTAAGACAGTACTTACATTTGTATAGCACCTTTCACGTCAGGAGAACATCCCAAGTCCCTGGGACTTATCAAATGCAATAAATATCAGGGAACGATTGAAACTACCAGCACAGGCTGTTCCTACAACTTGTTTTGTTCACATTCTAGTCCGTGAACTCAAGTGTCAGGGTCCTGTGTACACAGCAACTCTGATCCAAATTTGTAAATCATTGCAGATGTCCACTATTAGAGGGTGTCTTCACCCAGGCATGTACAGCACTGTGTGATACAGTAATCCTGGCATCTCTGATACAACTCCTACATCACAACCTCTCAAAGCGCTGCACAGGCAATTGTGGTAAAGGGTAGTGACTGTGTTTGTGGGCGACCAAGGAAAGCCAATCTGCGCACTACAGATAACTGATAATAATTCAAACAACATGAATTTCACAGAGACCCCACCCCCCAAACACACAGATTCATAGACACACAGATGCAGATACACTCACACACAGATATACACATACACACAGATACACATACATACATAGATACACATACACACACCCACACATTGCTGTGTTGGCAGCAGACTCTACTTAAAACCTTTTTTTTCTGCAGATTGAATTTGTGCAGCAACTTCCCAAAACCATTAGTGGGAAAATTCAGAGAATCAAGTTACGGAATAAAGAATGGGGAAGAGCTTCCCACTGAACATCGTAAATTAGAATCATTAATTACAAATACAGTAAAATGGTTCAAATAAATACAATAATCTCTTACATTTGAGACATCCCAAAACCCTTCACTATGAAATGTAGTAATCTTTTTGTTGGGTGATTACAGCAGCCAATTTGCACACAGCCATGAAGTTAGACTAAATTTATGATCGTCAGGGACACCTGGAAAAAAAACTCGCTTCTTTTCAAATGGTGCCATTGGAATGTTTAACATTCATCTGAACACGCAAACGGACCTCAGTTTAATGTCTCATCTGAGGGACAGTACCTCCAACAATGCAACTCTCCCTCCAGACTGCACTGGAGCATCAGCCTGGACTGTGAGATCAACGTCCCAGTATGAGGTTCGAACCCACAACCTTCTGACTCAAGAGGTCAGAGTGCTACCAACTGAGCCAGGCGGACATCAAACATCTTCTCTGGAAACCTGGGGTCTTTCCTTTTCTCTCCACAGACAATGGACCAACATTGGGTACAACACAAAATAGTTTTTATTGTAAATCACAAAAGTTATGTAAAAAAATAGAGCGAGTTACAGTTTCTAGGCCTTTGGTTAAAAAAGCAGAAAACAAATCATCAACTTTGAATGTTGTTTTACGGAAACGGTGACTGTAAACTGAGATTAAAAACAGAAAAGGAGGGACGATGGTGTTTTTTGATTGAAGGAATTGACACAAGCATCACAGACCAGTTAGTCCCATTCCTCCAACTCACTGCAGTTTACTCCAGAGGTTTTGACTGTGTTTTGTGGGCGAAACGCCTGGTGACCCAGACTCTGCTGTCAGCTGCGGAAGGGACAGCGTTGGCCCAGTTACCTGCACTGGGAGAGAAGCCGGGGGTCCGGGGAGGAGTGGGTGGTGAGTACCGAGATCTCCCTCTTCAGCGCCCGCTCCCACTTAAAGTAGCCACAGCCCCGGCCGTTCTCAGCATCTTGCTTCCCCCGCGGGCACGAGTAGAAAGCCTCGCCGTGGTTAAGGCCAGGGGCGGAGACTCTGAGCCTGCGAGCTCGCCGTCCACACCCACACAGCGGGGGCGTCAGCTTCCACCCCCCGGGGGGCAGCGGGGCGAGAGGTGGAGCACAGCCCGGGGGCGGGGCACAGGCCGGGAGCCGAGCGAGGGGCGGGGCACGGGCTGGGGGCCGAGTGAGGGGCGGGGCACGGGCTGAGGGCGGGGCACGGGTTGCGGCGTTACTGCAATCTGTGTGGACGGTGAAGGGTGGCTTCTTGCAGGGCCTGAGAGGGCTCAGACGGGAGCCTTTTCTTTTGGCAGTACCGGCCCAGCCCCCGGCCAGCGAGATGCCCGAGGTGAGCGCCAGTGTGGGCACCAGCACAGCAGCTCCGGGCTGCACACCCCTGGACATCATCGAGCAGTCTTTCCCAGCTTTGCCATGACTGAGGGGGGCAGGAAGAGTGTTCAGTTGTGTCTTCAGGGATAGGAGGCTGTGACAGGCCCCGTTCGCACACAGCCCAGAAGATTTTGTACAAATGCTTTTGCCCCCTTCCGCGTGCCCGCTCTGCCCTGCGGCTCTGCCTTCAGCAGGTCCTGTCCTGCGGGCACTGGCTGTGGGGACGAGGCCGCCGCTGGCACTATGGTCACCGCCCCCGAGGTTAGGCCTGTCCTCAGGCTGCCCATTGGCTGGTAGCCCGAGCACCCGATTCTTCATCAGAGGAACCTAATAAAACAGCATCACAGAATATACAGTGGTTATTATTGCTCCAGGATAACAAAACCTGTGAATAATACTAATAATGATAATCATCATCCTTGGATTTGATCCAGCACCTTATCCAGTTGTTGATAATTACTGTAATTATCGTTATGTAATAATAATTGTAATAATTATGGTAAGTAATGTAATTATTAAGGCAACAGTTCCTGGTAAGGATGGAGCTGAACTCACCACTGACCACTCACCCTGTCCAACGACTTGGTGACTCTCATCTTACAGCCGTCATTGATCATGCGCCAGGCCAGCCGAGCGGTGTTCCGGGCGTCATCCAGACCTGTGTTCATTTACAAAAAGGAAGCCGTTAGGATAGCAATCCCCCTCGAAAGCCGATCCGGATTCTGCCTCAACCACAGTCCCAGTTCAGGTGTTGGATGCGCTAACAAACTCCCAGATAAATCATTCCCTCACATTACAGCTGTTTGTGGGGACACAGATGTGCGCAAATTGGCTGCGACATTTCCTATAAAATACAGTCATTCCACTTTGCAGTAAAAACACACACACACCACACGCACAAATGGACTCACCTGCACACCACACGCACAAATGAACTCACACACACACCACACAAATAGAATCACTCTCTCTCTCTCACACACACCATTTCCAGATATAAGGCAGTGGTAACTAAGCGCCATTACTAACCGGAGTGCTCACGACCTGAAAACACAATGCCTACATCCTGCAGTGCTCCATTCAGACCGTGTGGTTTTCGGTTATAGAACGACTGCAACACAAAATTAGTCTCAGGTCAGCCCAAGCCACCAGGCACACGAACCTCACAAGAGCAACTTCACAACACGTTGGCCTGTGTCCCCGGAGTCACCAGATCAACAGTTAACTGATTTGTGGAGATGCTGTGGTCCAAAGGACGACACCTCTGACATTGCAGCCTCCCCACTAACCCCAGCACTGTACTGGTGTTCCAGCCTAGACCCCGTGTATACCACTTATGGCTGTCTTACATCTGGACAGGGTGCTTGTGTGTGTGTGTGAGATTGTGTGTGTGTCCATGTCAGTTTGTGTGCATCGGGGGTGTGTGTGTGTGTGTGCGCGCATGTGAGTTTGTGTGTTTAATGATGATGATTATAAAAGAGTTTGCCAAAAGGAGAGCCAGTGTTTCAATCCCAGGCACTGTACTTCCTGTGTTATTCATCAGTCGGACTATAGCACTGATTCGTGCCATCCACACACACACACACACCTTTACCTTGTAGGTCGCTCGGAGATCAATCCAGCTGTTCAGCACATCTGCTTTCCTGAGCTGTTTCCTCTTACACTCGTAGTGCAGGCAGACACCCAGATCCCAGTCTGCGGAAGAGGGCGATGTCAACACCACAACAATTTGTACTTGTATCGCGCCCTACATGCGGGGAGGCATCTCGGAGGGCTAACACTGCCAAAGGATTACAAGGGTTTGCAAACCACACTGAACGCTCTGGCGGTTCCTTCATTTTTCAGAAGTTGCTGCTCACTGAACCGTGTAGATCTTGTGCTCTCAGGCAATGTTCCAGGGGACTGACTGCGCACTGTAGGCCTGTCTGGGGCTCACTTTTCAGACTATATTAATCTTACTGTTTTACACTACAATCTTCAAACAAACCAAATGGCACTCAGTATATACTGAGGGACCTCAGGCAGGTTTCCTTACTCCACACACACACACCTGTGTTTACCTAGCAGTAAGTAGGAACCTGTCTGTTAGTTGATTGGTGGATCGCTTTCCAGGGGTAATAATCCCTACCCCCAAAAAAATGTGGACTCTCGATCTACGACTGTTTGTGCTGTGCGCACTTGGCTGGCGCGTTTCAATTACCTATATATAGTTAATTCACTTTACAGTTGAGTGCTTTGAGACGCCTCAACGACGTGACAAGGCACGATATTAAATGCAAGGATTATTTCTGACTGTACCAGACCAGGTGACAAAGGCACAGGGCCTCAACTCCTTGGCACAGGAGGGAGAAGTGTCTTTGATGAAGGCAATGCCTTTCTCCTGTTGTATCCTGCAAATCCAACGGGAAAACTGAGACAGGCAAATTGCCAGAGGAACGCCCGCTTCCACTTGACTCTGAAAGTAAAACCCAGGCAGCGATTACAAGAGTTTAGCCACCCTGTTTGTCAGAGCAGCTTTTTTTTAAGAGGGAAGTAGATGGGTTCTCATACATGCAGAAACCCATCACCATGCTGGAGTCACCAAAAACCAAACTACTGGGAACTCTCTCTGTATATAGAACATTACCATTTGTTTGGTATGGAGCTCGCACCCTGGGATTGCAGAGATGGGGGGGTGGGGGGGGAGCGCTGCATTGTTGGGAGTGCCGTTCTCGTTCAAGTAGATGTTAAAGAACTCACGGCACTCTTTGAAAAGAGAATGGAGTTTCCTCTCCTGGTGGCCTGGCCAACAATTCCCCAGATAAAATTGATCACTCACTCTGTGGCCATTAGTGGGACACTGTTGTGTGCAATTGGCTGCCGCTGTTTCGTCCACAAAACAGTCAAAGCCACTTTACAGTATATTCTGTGAAGAGGTTTGAAATGTCTCGACGATGTGATAAGACGTTATATCAAATGTAAGGATTATTATTATTATTATTCAAACAGACAACCTAGCAAGCGACAAAGCTATCAGGTTGTATTGCAAGTGATTACGGAAAGGGAAAAACAGGCTTTTTGCAGTGAAAGGTATGAAGCTCTGAGTATCCGGTATGGGAAGCCAGACTTTCCAGCCAGTTTCTTGTGCTGCTAACCTGTTTGATGCCAGTGAGCTCTGTGCAAAACCCGGACAGGATCGGGTGCTCCTGAGGCTGGACGTACGTGTGAAATTCAACCTCTATCTCGCCGCTCGAAGTGTTCAGCAACACTGCTGGGAATTCGACTGGGTGGTGGAGGAACTGGGTGTTATTGAGATCACAGTCACAGTGTTATCAGAGTGCTGTCCCCCCCTTAATTCCCCAGGCTGTTAACTCTGCCGTGCTATGGGTACCATTCTTCACGTGCGACTCTGGACAGTCTGGGCAGACTGTTCAACCATGGTTGGTTGCTGTGGCAGGGAGGAGGGTGGGCAAAATCACAGCAAAATTGTACTCTTCCCCAAGGTCTCACTTCTCTCAGCTATCATTTAAACGCAACATCCTTGCCATGACCCGTTCCGCCTTTCTCCACCACCGCAGCATTGCCTGCCTGTGCTACTGCCTCTCCCCTCAGGCTGCCTGGCACCTCATTCATGCATTCAGGTATATCCCACAAAATTGCAATATATTTGTATTCAATTCTCTAATATACACAACCCCACAATTAACAGCATCTACCTTCTCGGCTTTCTTTTCTGGAGACTTTACTCACTTATTTCCGGAGGGTAGCGGGACTTCCCATCTTTCCAGCAAGTAGACTCAAAGTCAATAATAATTAAATAGGAAAAAAACTGATCTATAAAAATAAACAGCACAAAAGCTCCAGTTGGCTTTAATTCGAAAAAAAAGGATCAGTGCTTTCACAATTGGAGCATTTACCAGGAGTTCTGCCGGTTTCTGGGCCAACCAAACATTTAGAAAATTTACAACGAATATTCTCACACATCAAGGAAATGAAGCCTCAATAATAAAATAACAACATTCTGCAAATTTGATAAAGTGCTATATAATGTCAAAACATCTCAAAGCATCTATCATACACCACACAGCCCTCTCCACCCACACACCATCAGATCAGCATCAGAGATAATTGCTTTCAAATACTGCGACTGTGGATAGTATCATTATTCTCAGTCAAGTCAGGTTAATTGTCCTCAGTCACCTCAGATGCCACTTACTTGGTTTAGATTTTTGATTGACATCTTCCAGAGATGATGATGAGCGTTTCCTTATTAGGCCAAGCTTCCTGGAGAGACCAGGGGTTACAGTGAAAATTGTTCCAGTAAAAAAAACTCAGAAAAACAGCAATGCCTGCAAACTTGAGAAAGAATTTAAGAAAAAACACATTGCCCTAATTTGATAGTGTAAAGCACATCATTACAACCAGTGTCAAACTATCTTTTACAGTACGAGAATCAATCCTGTTCTTCAGATACGAATCATTGTTTTAAATAAATAGTTGGCACTCGCCTTACACAGAGATTGCTTCAAGATTCCAGGTTCTGGTGCTTTACAAAAAAAAGTGTGATCCCAAACTCTACTGTCTCCCTATCCCCAAACGGAAAATCCTCACCTCCAAATCCCTCCATAGCCTCACCCCGCCCTACCTCTGCAATCTCCAGCACTTTATAAATATGGTGTGTATTGTATTATTGTGAGTGATAGCCGGGGGCTGTTGGGCAGAACAGAGAGCAACTCCCTTCCCTATCTGAGCACTGCAGTGCTGCAGAGCCTTTAACATCCACCTGAATAGGCACAGAAGAGGCCTCGGTTTAATGTCTCA